TTTTTACTAAAAGGGTAGACACAAGTTAAAAGACCACTATAGTGCCAGGAAAAATACTTGTTTTCCTGGCACTATAGTGCCCTGAGGGTGCCCCCACCCTCAGGGACCCCCTCCCTCCGGGCTCTGGGGAGAGGAAGGGGTTAAACTTACCTCTTTCTCCAGCGCCGGGCGGGGAGCTCTCCTCCTCCTCTCCTCCCTCTTCTCCTCCTCTTCCACTGAATGCGCATTCCCGGCAGGACCCGCGCGTGCATTCAGCCAGTCCATAGGAAAGCATTCACAATGCTTTCCTATGGACACGGGTGTCTTCTCACTGTGATTTTCACAGTGAGAAGCACGCAAGCACCTCTAGCGGATGTCAAGAGACAGCCACTGGAGGCTGGATTAACCCTAACATAAACATAGCAGTTTCTCTGAAAGGGTTAACCCTAGCTGGACCTGACACCCAGACCACTTCATTAAGCTGAAGTGGTCTGGGTGCCTATAGGGGTCCTTTAAGATTGCTCAAACTGCATTAAAAATATCAAAATGAAAACATAGATCCCGATACAATCTAGATTTAAAATATTCTGAAATATTACTCTTGTCATCTAAATGAAGCACTGCATTCAAAGTGTGACTCTCTGGTTTAAGAGACTGAGAAAAGATGTGAGTGACACACAGAAACAAGGCTGTTTAGATAAGGTAAAAATACTCAAAGAGATCAAAAACAAAAAGATCTTTTCATAAACAAATAATGATACAAAAATTAGAAAAGAGAAACTCTGGCAATGATCATGTTTGCCTTTTCTGACCGTGTATTGAGTAAAATAATTAAATATTCTGAAAGAAATACATTGACTATGGCAGCTCTAACACACTGATGTAGCAGGATGAACTGTTTTTTTGAAACCCAAAAATATGTAAAAATACAAGGCGTATGTCAATGTGATTTGTGCCCAATTAACATATTTAAATTTTCTATCCTGACCAAGGTATTCACTTAAGTCAGAATTTAAAGTGAATTAACAGCATTTCAGGTTAATAGTTCCATCATGTGTCCTTAAGGGGTTAAAATAGGCGAACTGAAAAAATTCTCTAAGGGAACTGTGGTTTCCATTTGGCTACTCTGGCCTCAGATTTGAAATTAGAAACATAGAAACATAGAATGTGACGGCAGATAAGAACCATTCGGCCCATCTAGTCTGCCCAATTTTCTAAATACTTTCATTAGTCCCTGGCCTTATCTTATAGTTAGGATAGCCTTATGCCTATCCCATGCATGCTTAAACTCCTTTACTGTGTTAACCTCTACCACTTCAGCTGGAAGGCTATTCCATGCATCCACTACCCTCTCAGTAAAGTAATACTTCCTGATATTATTTTTAAACCTTTGTCCCTCTAATTTAAGACTATGTCCTCTTGTTGTGGTAGTTTTTCTTCTTTTAAATATAGTCTCCTCCTTTACTGTGTTGATTCCCTTTATATATTTAAATGTTTCTATCATATCCCCCCTGTCTCGTCTTTCCTCCAAGCTATACGTTAAGATCCTTTAACCTTTCCTGGTAAGTTTTATCCCGCAATCCATGAACCAGTTTAGTAGCCCTTCTCTGAACCCTCTCTAAGGTATCAATATCCTTCTGAAGATACGGTCTCCAGTACTGTGTACAATACTCCAAGTGAGGTCTCACCAGTGTTCTGTATAATGGCATGAGCACCTCCCTCTTTCTACTGCTAATGCCTCTCCCTATACAACCAAGCATTCTGCTAGCATTTCCAGCTGCTCTATTACATTGTCTGCCTACCTTTAAGTCATCAGAAATAATCACCCCTAAATCCCTTTCCTCAGTATGTTGAGGTTAGACTCTATCAAATATTCTGTACTCTGCCCTTGGGTTTTTACGTCCAAGATGCATTATCTTGCACTTATCCACATTAAATGTCAGTTGCCACAATTCTGACCATTTTTCTAGTTTACCTAAATCATTTGCCATTTGGCTTATCCCTCCTGGAACATCAACCCTGTTACATATCTTAGTATCATCAGCAAAAAGACATACCTTACCATCAAGACCTTCTGCAATATCACTAATAAAAATATTAAAGAGAATGGGTCCAAGTACAGATCCCTGAGGTACCCCACTGGTGACAAGTCCAAGCTTCGAATATATTCCATTAACTACAACCCTCTGTTGCCTGTCACTCAGCCACTGCCTTACCCATTCAACAATATTTGAATCCAAACTTAAAGATTGCAGTTTATTGATAAGCCTTCTATGTGCAACAGTGTCAAAAGCCTTACTGAAATCTAGGTAAGCAATGTCTACTGCACCACCCTGATCTATAATTTTAGTTACCCAATCAAAAAAATCAATAAGATTAGTTTGGCATGATCTCCCTGAAGTAAACCCATGTTGTCTCTGATCTTGAAATCCATGTGTTTTTAGATGTTCATCAATCCTATCCTTTAACATGGTTTCCATCACTTTCCCCACTACTGAAGTAAGGCTTACTGGCCTATAGTTGCCCGACTCCTCCCTATTACCTTTCTTGTAAATGGGCACAACATTCGCTAACTTCCAATCTTCTGGGACTACTCCTGTTAACAATGATTGGTTAAATAAATCTGTTAATGGTTTTGCTAGTACACCACTAAGCTCTATTAATAGCTTTGGGTGTATTCCATCAGGTCCCATTGACTTATTTGTCTTTACTTTTGACAGTTGAAATAGAACCTCTTCCTCTGTAAACTCACGTGTAATAAATGACTCATTTATCCTTTTCTCAACTGAGGTCCCTTTCCTTCATTTTCATCTGTAAATACAGAACAAAAATATTCATTGAGGCAGTCAGCTAGACCTTTATCCTCTTCTACATACCTTCCTTCTTTTGTTTTTAATCTAACTAATCCTTGTTTTACTTTTCTTTTCTCATTTATGTATCTAAAAAATGTTTTATCCCCCCTTTTTTACTGACTGTGCTATTTTCTCTTCTGTGTGTGATTTGGAAGCTCTTATAACCAGTGGCGTACA